GCTTATGAAGCTTAGTGATATTCCAAGCAACACTGTAGACAAGTATGTACATTATTAATTTTTAAAAAGAATTCTAACTGATATAAACTATTTGAAATGTATTGAAAAAAATCACATAAAAAGTAGGGAACTTATGTACCTACTGTTGAAGAGGCAGACATACAGCAACTCCTTCAGTACAATTAAAAACTTAATAACTTGTAAGCGTTCGCATCAACTTGCGATTGTATTTCAAGCAAATTGCTAACAATCAAATATTGTTTTAAACGTAATTACGGAAACAATGTAAAATTGTTTTGTCCGACTGAGTTCGTAACTCGTCTCGGATGCGATCAGCGGCCTCAATTAAAAGTTGCGCGGCTACACCGCATACTTGAAGGGCTTTTTGCTACAACGAAACTATTGAAGGCTTCGGCGGCCGACTGAAGTTTTCTATGTTTATTTACAAGACAGACGACTTAAATGTTTTGAAATAAGGTTAATTCATTGATTATGTAACACATAATTTATTATAATTATATGTATAAACTGTATTATTGTTTAACTTTTCTTGTCTATAAATGTAAATGTTTTATTGTCTTGCTCATTTACTTTATCAAACCATGAAGTCATGTCACAATCATCATCATATTCAGACTACCAAAAAAATTGAAATTTTTAACTTGTATACTACGTTCATTGAGATGCGCGTATAAATTTGCCTTGCCTTAAAAACTAGGGCAAAGGTCGGCTATTCACGACGGGCACTGCCACTGTGAAATAGAGCGAAATGTTTTGGTTAGGTCATATTCAGACACCTAAAACGGTAGATGAGAAAACTTCAAACTGTTAGAAATTACCTAGTACCTACCCGTCTCGTCGTAGGTATGTAATAAAATGTTAATGTCTAAGATATTAATTTTAAGTTTTCTTTGTTGCAGGTGTGGTGAAGTGGTTAGTGGTAGTGGCGATTGTCGTGTCTGAGTGCTAGTGAAGTAAGCAGTGATAAGTGTAGTTCTCAACTAGTGTGTGTGCGTCCAGTGCGGCGCCTGTGCCGGTCAACTAGATGCCGGTGCGCCGATGGAGCGGTGATCTTGGACTGATTGCGCCTCGGCAAAACTGGTAAGTGTCTAATGAATAATTTACTCAAAAATTAGAATTATCATCCTATTAGCGGTTCTAGACGCGCAACAGGCGTCTATATTTTGATATAATCTCAACAGACCTTCGACCAGTTTAGCTTAAACGACGACCACAGTCTTAGATCATATGTAAAATGGACTACTCGTAGATAATTTTCAAGACCTTAGGAGTCGTTGAAAATTCCAATATGGCCATAAAGTAATAGATAAAATATTGTTAATAAACTTTGTTATAATGTGTTGTATTAGCACTCACAAATATAGAATTTAAGCTTTTCTTGTCTGACTTGTTATCCTCATTATAACTATGAAGCATCGTGACTTTGTGGGAACGGATTGCAAGATAGGAGGGGATCTTTCAATAATAGCCGCGGACAAGTTGTAAGCAACTAAGAACTTGTTACCGTATTATCATCATACGGGTTGTGAGTCACGACAAGTAGACTCGTTGGCCTCCTAACCCGTTAGAATGTGAAGCTTATCTTGTTCGGCAGGTAGCTTGTGAGCCAGCTGTCGTCTTTTTCTTAAGGCCAATCTTCAGTTCTTATAACGAGTCTTAACTAGTCGCTAAATAACAATAAATGTCTGTGCAAAACTTACTTTGTGGTAATAAACAAAAAATACTGGTATTATTGTGAAAAAGCGTGGGTTGCTCGATAGACGAAAAATATGGCAGAGAGCGCGCCACGCTTTTTCACAATAATACCAGTATTTTTTGTTTATTACCATTTTCAGCCTAAATTAGGAATTATTTTTCACTTTTTAGTTTGATGTGCTTTAAAAGCGTGTTTTTTAGTTTTTTTAAACTATATTTATTTTCCACTGTTTAGTCCTAGCAGCAATACGTGTTGTCTCAATTTAATCGTATTGCTTTGTGGACTTAAAAAAAATTTCATTGTTTTTTTTTTCGAGATAAACCTATGAAATTATTATATTGTCGCTGATTCTTTATAAGTGTACAAAGTTTGAATTAAATCTGTCCGTTTAATGTGGGTCGAAATCGGGTCCGAAGGAGTCGGTTACATACATACATACATACATGAATACATACATACATACATACAGGTGAAGCTAATATAAAGCGTGTAATAAAAAAGAAACAAAACTGTGAAAAATTACAAATATAGCCGGTTTTACGGTGTATGTAATTTTTATTACCATCTGTTGACAGATATTATACCATATTACAATGTCATATTACACTCGTATGATAAATGGTGGAATTGATTGCTGAGGCGAACACATAACAATATTACAAATGGAATTCGGGGAATCGCCTATCAAGCGAGAATTGAACGCTAATAGGGAAAAAGGCGCACGAAAGAGAAATATTTATTCAATTTACGTCGCATCGTTTTATTTACGTCACGAAAGGCCTCTGAAATTGAACGGTGAAAGAGCAAATCCGATGTAGCCACGCTGAAAAGCAATTTTTTGTTAGTGTGCAACTTTCGTCTGGCCAATTAGACACGCTTTTTAATTCTTTAGAACTCAGTAGTCAGTAGACGCAAAATGTAGTAGTTTTATTCTAGCTAGATAGTAGTAGATATAGTTAGCATCAGCATTAATAATTATCACCATTATAAATAGAATAAGTATTTAATGATGATAGTTTTGTTCATGACATGAGTCTGTTTTCTTTTTGTGTACAACGCGGCTGTTTTCTCCAGTAGATTAGGATATCCGTTTCAAGGTTAAATTAAAGTCGTTTTAGTCAATATGTGTGTGTAGGTACGCGTGATAGACACTCATAACAATTTATTTAAGTCTTAGTGGTTCAATTAACTCTCGGATAAACAGCCAGAAGGAATCTAGATTAAACAAGAATGTGTGAATTTCTGTATTGCCAGGCACTTGTTATTTTATTAATACGGGCATGAAGTGCCTTACCCGGTATATTTACTCTCGTATTAAAATCGTACACCGTCCCATAATTTATTACCTTATTCATGATTTATACATGAATTTACCGCTTAGCAACGCAAACGGCAACGATAGGACATTTCCTTGTACATATTAACAACGGTATCTCCGTAATGTAAAATATAAATGCTTTATTATAACGTCCTGTTTGTTCAAAGATTACTTTTATCTATCTTTAGCGTCTTACAGCCGTCTATGTTCTATGAATTTCTTCGGTTGAGGTCAAGTTTGTATACGTAATGGGAGTGACTTGTTTGAATGTCATATCTATATTTTTATCAAATATAGATTCTGCTATTTAATTAACAAAAACTAACATTTAAATTGTTTATAAGTATATTTTAGTTACGTTTTTACTCGTATAAATCAACTTTATAAAGAGTTCCCAACATTTATATATTTGTTCAATCGTTAGGTTATATTTTAAAGATATAAAACCATCAGTTGAACACGAATTATTTTAACTATTTAAACCAAGTAAAAGCTTCAGTTCCTATATAATGATAGTTCTATAGATATTGATTACTTATGAATACAATTATTACTATTTATTATTTCTTTGCTTATATGAAAACATATAAGCAAAGAAATAATAAATAGTAATAATATAATAATAGTAATAATATATATATATATGATGTGATCGAATCTACGATTAGATAATGGCATATATAACATTGGTTTCTAGACGGCTGCGACAAACCATACCAGAATGAGCATATAATAATGTTACTATTTAGCTAAATGTAACGCTTAAGTTTCCTGTCGTAGTCACGCAATTGGAATTACACATATGTTTTAGTTACTGCGATATATTAGGCAAACTATTTTTTTTGTACATTTACAAAGTCTGTTGAGAGTTTACCCATTTTATCAATTTCGTGTAAAATGTTATTAAATAATTGTTAACCTTAATGCTAATTTTTTACAATTTTGCAGGTAAAATGAACGCGTCGAGATCAACACGACCGGCTTCAAAACATCAACCCTAATGACATTGATATTGTAAGTAATTTGATATTTCCTCATAATACTTATTATCTACGAAGGAGTACAACTTTATAACTAACTTCAAGTTAAAGAAACACCAAATTGTTTAACATTTATATAAATCACGGTTATCTGAATGCGTCTTATATTCAGTCTTGAAATTATTAATAGAAAATTTCTTATTGGAACATATTTTTTTGTATTCTTAATTAGTTAGGTAAATGCTTGCGGCGGCAAGGTATATTAGTTATGTTGTGCATAAATATTACGTATATGATTTTCTCTGTGAAATTTTTGTGTAGAAAGTCGCGTCAATACGTCAGGTTTTTGAACCTTTTGTAACAACGCTTATACAAAAATGCACAAATGTTTAAAATTAAGATTTTAAACCTTAATATTTGCAGTTGTCGTGATAGAATTTTGTGGTTACCTACTAAAAAAGTCAGATGTGCAGGCCTACAAAACAAGCAGTTTGTCCCATTCTAGTAACTCTAAAAAGTAGTTTAATCAATGATTGTTATCACCAGTAGCCGCACTCGTTGGCCTCGTTCCAGCGTTTGTTATTGCCAGACAACGTGGCGTGCTCTTGCCGTATCTAATGAGATTTAACTGGATTCTATTCAGACTACCCCTATAACATTGAACTTACTGAACTGTGGCGGGAAGAAAAGCATATACATATTTATGTTATTTTTAAGTTTTCATGTGTTTGTGGCGTCTTAGCGTTCACTTAAGAATAAACATAACAATATTTGTTTACATGATTTAGCCTATTTGTAATGAAATGTAAAATGAAGCCCATATTGTAAATAAATAAAGTACATTCATATCGTTTATTACCTTTATGTATCTTAATTAAATACTATTAAAATTTTAAATTTCCTCTAAATTCCGGAATGACCGTTTTTATTGCAATTCCAGGTGACGCGCTGCAAAGCAGTAAAAAAAGCGGCTCTGCCGCTTTAAATGGACAAACGCAAGATGCTGCCAAAGAGACCTCGCATGGATAGCATTCGGGGACCCATCGCAAATGGACCCCTACAATCGAGGTAAGTTGTAACTATTATCTATTAATAAGTCATAGTCGTTAGATAATATCGCGATATATTTCGGTTAAACACCTATTTGTATAGATCACGAAATTTTCTATTGCCAATTATAACGTATATATTTGAGCAAAAATTAAATATTTAGTCTATTTACCTTCATATGGAATGTCTCTTTACCCAGGCGAAATAAAATTGAGTAGTAAAATTATATAAACTTAAATATATAGTTTATAACGTTACTAATGGGATTTTCCTACCACACTCATGTTTTTATTATTTATGTATTACTGTTATAATATATTCAGACGTATAGCAAATATTTAAAGCAATACAGTAGCGGTATAGGTAAAAAATAGTTCTGTAACGATATCATTTATGTACGTAATGATGCGAAGCCGATTTATACGATGAATCACACTAATAAGACATATTTATACATTAGCAAGAAATAATTTGCACGAGCGTTATAGGAGATCGCGTCTTGCAAATCCTATTTGTATTCTTAACAAAGTTTAGTTTTGGTATTCTATGTACGAAACAACGCTTTATATAATATTTGATTACGGAGCTTATTAATTTTCTCTCCTCTAGTAACAACTCTATCATCAACTTTGACGTCGTATAAAGTATTTACACAAAAACAACCCGATTGCGAACGAATTCTTTCCTCGTGGTAATACTATTTGCTTTTCAAAAAAACTTGCCGAAAAGGTTTTCCATTGTTTAACACCAAATCTGATTTCGTCCGCCCTCAAGAAGTTCGAAATTTTTCCAAAAGTCTACCCACTATGAAACTTCCTAACGTAATAATTCAAGTTCCAAAGTTTCAAATATTATTCGGGACGGTGCGTTTTAATTAATACGGGGCAAGTGAAGGGCGAACGGTCAACGCCGATTGATTGACTTAAAATCTACAACTATTAGATATTAGAACAACTTGTAAGCCGGATGTAACGAGAACAGTTACTACCTACCCTGCTGTTTTAGACCTTTGTGGCATTTTAATTGGTATTAAAAAAACTAGTTCTTTGAATAAGCCGAACTATCCAAGGATAAGTTCTTTTAGTAGTAGATTTTTTTGTTTTATTGAAGAAGGTATACAGAACGTATATTATTTATATGCATTTTTTAATCTCATTGTGATGTTAACGTTTCATTCCTGATCACGTTTAAATAACCTTATAGAGAACAAGTTCTAATACCAAAACCGTATAAAGTTTAAATTATACTTGTATTGTCTTGGGTTGTTTTATCGGCTTTGTCCGTTCGCATCGCCGGACGAGCTGCACTAACTTGACTACGCTCCTAATCCGGCTTACTAGACCGACCGTTTTAGTTTACATAATAATCGTGTGCATTTTTACCACTTCGGAATTGGTTAATAATTAAAATTTATTAAGTCTTAAATTGATCGGGAACATTTTCAATTTCACGCGTTTACTGTTATTACCTACCAAAGTGTTAGTTCAATATCTTATTTTCTATGTATTTCAATTTCAATTATGCCTATGATACAATTCAATTGTGCATATTTTTCAAGATATGATTAATATGTGATGCCATTATAGTTGCTAAATTCCTAAATTGCAATAATATAGATGTCTTCATATAAGCATTTATTTAACTTTTATTTTAAAACATACTTAAGTTTCAAACAAAACTTCAATGACACTTAGAATTCGTCAACTGTCGTTAAAGTCATCTCTAGAATCTAACTCAGCTGTAATTCTGCTTTCAAAACAAGTTGAAATCTCACGCAACATTACATCCCTAAAGGATCCTCGACTATCAGTTCACAGTTGTATGTATGACTATCTCTCATAGCATTAATTACTGCTTCGTAACGTTATGGACCGTATAGGGTTCTCCGTCCTACGCTCCGGTCGATAGCAATTTGTGCCGCGCACTTCCTTCCACTTAATTAATTTGCAATGGAAATGATCGTGAAGATCTTGTTCAAATGTATTGATGCGTCATACGCTTACGACATGCAAGTATAGAAGGATCATTGTGCGTAACAATTTGATTATGTATGTTATCATTATGTGGCAATGTATGTGTTTTTATTTAAGACCAACGCAGAAAATGATAAAAACTGATAGTAGCGAAAGCCGTGTATATTTGAAATCATATATTTTGCTTTTATACATCATTTATCACTTTACGGAATCTATAGAAAAGGAATAATAATAGGAAATAGATTTTGTTAAAAGTATTATTCATGATATATAGCGGTAAAAGCTTATCGCTCCACGGCGACTCTAGCGTGAAAACGTAATAATAGATTTACACTTTAAATATATCTTAACGAAAATTTTAGAATTAAATTCGTATATCCTCAATAGTACTTTATTAATTTGGCATTATCTCTTTCCAGGCCCCTAGTGGCACTTTTGGACGGTCGCGACTGCACCGTCGAAATGCCAATACTGAAAGATGTCGCAACGGTTGCGTTCTGCGACGCTCAAAGTACCTCGGAAATACATGAGAAGGTGTTAAACGAGGCGGTGGGAGCCCTAATGTGGCACACCATTATACTAACTAAGGAGGACCTCGAGAAGTTTAAGGCGCTCAGAATCATTGTGCGCATCGGCTCCGGCGTTGATAATATAGATGTCAAAGCGGCCGGCGAGTTAGGTGAGTGATTTGTAAATATTTCAAGAACGGCTAGGTTTTAAGTTTAGGTAGCGTAACGTTTTTAACAATAATTTTACCTCGAAATTAACTAAAGCATATTAAGTTGTCTAGTGTCCGTCAAGACAAACTGTTTCAGCTCAGAAGCATTATTACGAATTCATTACAATATTACAAAATACTTAATTAGCCATTTGTCAGTTCAAGAAAGTTTTCCGCACGATTTTCCGTCACTATTTCACGTATTCATTTTTTTATAGACTTACAAAAAAGTTACGAATTTTTATCGAAATACCACGTATTCCAATACTAAAATCAATTATATCCGTTTAAATTCATTCGATTATATTAATATAAGACTTGGAGGTATTTTTTGAGTCAAATTTAATCAACATGATTCGATTTTCTTATCAAGTGAGTCTTCAAGGTATGATTAAATCATAACAAGTAGCTAATAGAGCTATTATATTTGCGTCAAGCCGCAAAAACTTTCCTCAATCAATTAAATCTACACGTGTCGATTCTGTGACGAGTTATTCAGTAAATTGACGTATATATTTTTTTTATAAGTATAAACTTTATTTAATAGTCCATTATGTGATTATATAGGTTATGTCACAAGTTTTATAAATAACATATTTTTTTTACTTTATTTGCAAAAAAATGTTATCTATCTGAGGTAAAATACTAGATGAACAAATGTAATAAGCCGAGGTACCATAACAATTTCTTGGAAAGCAATCCCTATCTGTTTTCCTTTCTAAGCATATTTTTATAATTATATATATATCATTAATATATTTTTCTAATTTAAATACTAATAAAATTACGCACAAACGGACCTATTGAGGGTCTAAGTGCGGAAACTGAGTTCACAAACCAAGACTATTAAAATAAATTAATGCAATGTGATTATAATCTTACATGTTTGTCAATGTTGCTTCCAGGTATAGCAGTATGTAACGTGCCGGGTTACGGCGTGGAAGAAGTTGCAGACACGACACTTTGTCTCATACTCAACCTCTACCGACGGACTTACTGGCTCGCTAATATGGTCAGGGATGGCAAGAAATTCACAGGTATGTTGTGATTCTATTAGGTACATATGAAATTGACGTTTTGTTGTATTGTCCACTTTGACAAATATCTCCTCTTTGGTTAGGAATTCCAAATTCAATTCAAGAATCTCGTGCATTTGTTTTTCGAAAACCATGATTTATTTGATTTTCCGGTTTTTTTTTCTTTGCGTCACTTTATTTATAAAAGGTAAACAAATCAACTCTGATGGGCCAGTCGAAATCGCCTTTAAAGATTTTATTGATTCCCGTCCAAATGTTATTTTTAGTAAAGGGTTCAATGAACTACCTATAAGATGGCAAAAGTGCGTAGATAGAAATGGTACATAATTGGATGAATAATATATATTTATATATAAAAAAAACTTACTTTTTGTTCCTACCATACAAAACGCCAATTTCATAATTATTTAAGGTCCTAATATTATGACATAGCATATGTTGATTTCAAGATATAACATTAAAATTAACTTAATGTAATAAACACTTAATGTTTTTGTGCAAATATAATGAGTCACTTTATTTCTTTTATCTTTGAAGTACCATAACTCCCCAATAGGACAAACACATTCCTGTGTCTGTGAATGGATAATTTTTAAAAGGTCGTCCTATCCTACTTGAGGTCTAACAACCTGCCTTAGATTAACAAAAAATATCTATCAGCAAGGCTTTATGCACAAAGGGATATAAAGTGTCCTAGCAATATAAACAAAATTCTGCAAATGCCCGCTCTATGACTGGACTCTCTCGCCCTCAGGGACAGCCATGATATGTATATTACATTTGTAAGTTAATAAGTAATGAAGATTTGAAACTCTTATTTCTTAACCATCCGCTACTTTGAAAAGAGTAAATATCTGACCACAGTACTGGATAGGCATCAGGTATATATAAGATTTATTAATTTCAGGACCAGAACAAGTCCGCGAAGCGGCATCAGGTTGCGCGCGTATCCGCGGTGACACATTAGGAATTGTCGGCCTCGGCCGTATCGGTTCAGCGGTGGCTCTACGCGCCAAAGCGTTCGGTTTCACCGTCATTTTCTACGACCCTTACCTGCCCGACGGTATTGAAAAGTCGTTAGGACTTACGCGCGTCTATACCTTACAGGTATTTCAATTTTAAGTGTTAAAACCAATTTAGATAAATGTTAAAGAATATATTTCTACTAAATAACGGTTTATTTGGATGGAATATATTTACTTATTTTAGATACTTCGATGTCGGAAATTGTATACCTCCGTATTCTCCAAAATAATGGAAACCTATATTATCGGTCGACTTAATCTAGTCCAATTTTACCCTAAGAAAACAAGTTTGCGCCTTTACGCTTGTAATACTGGGGGGGGGTTGACAGTTGACATATATAATGACGTTCAGTTCAGCTTGGTGTGCTCAGCAAGGCGAGACAGTACTTCACTCCGGGACACCGCCTGCAAATCTATAAAGCGCAGTACCAGCCTCTTTCACTTAACCATATTAATAAAGAGGATTCAAAGGAGTTATTCGTAATAATACCGGCACCTGAGTTTCATCGGTTGTTGAGGCAGAATACGAAATTCCATCAGTATCATCTCGACGTCCGAGGTTCCACAACTCTATGTTTGTAAGGCACTTTGCCGCGCACCACCACTTTGTGGAAGCTGCGCATTGAATTATTTCCGAACCAATTCGACTTGGGCACTAAGCACTTTTTTTTCTCAACTAGTTATTAATTCGTTGTTTAGGATATTAGCAAATACATATTTTAGGTTTAATTAACATCCATTGATGTCTTTTGCAGGACCTATTATTCCAGAGTGATTGTGTATCATTACATTGCAGCTTAAATGAACACAATCACCACCTCATCAACGAGTTTACTATTAAACAAATGCGTCCAGGTGTGTATCATATTATTTTATTACTGTTTAGGAACTATTAATTTGTAACCCTTTTAGATTAAATAATAATAAATTTTATTGATTACACTTGCCTGCATGTTTTTCCATTTCTCCTTGATATATTGAGATTAACGTGTATACAGAAATATTTCGGAAATATATTGTATTTAAAAAGTTCGATATTATTATTTAATTTTCAGGCGCGTTCCTAGTGAACACAGCGCGGGGCGGGCTCGTAGACGACGAAGCGTTGGCAGCCGCGCTTAAGCAAGGACGTATACGCGCAGCCGCACTTGACGTGCACGAGAATGAGCCCTTCAATGTCTTCCAGGTAAAAACATCACGATTTATGGATTCTTTAAATACCAATTCTTCTAATTGAAATTGGATTTGATGTTAAAGTACATTTAAATTAAGATATGAAAATATATTTACCCTAAATAATCTGTAGGTATTAGGTAAATATGGTTGAGTAATAGAAAAACAAATAAAGTTATATTAAATAATAGTCCATTTTCATTAATATTCATCAAAACTTTCAGATATTTAAGGGCTCATCTATCCCTAAGTCATGTTTGGGGACACATATTCATAGCTCTATAGCTTATTTGTTTGAAGTTGTGTTGAAATAATTCAGCTTTTGAATATTCATAGAGATAGTATTGTCTTTGATTGACATAACCTTTACACATTAAAAGAAAACATTCATTCAAGTTTTCTTGTAGGTTTTTTTATGGATCATTTATCACAGGATCTTTGAAATCATGAATGCTATTTTGTATTCTAACCTAATTTGAGTTCTTATAAAAAACCTAAATCGCGTGTGTGCGGCAGCAAAACAAATCTACCAGCACCCTTAAATGTTTGTATAATTGAAAACGCTTAGTTAATCATTTATCTGCCGTAGCCATTCATAATATTGCCAACTTTTTCATAAAATAATCTATTAATTTTTAATTCCGTCCACAAAATGTTATAACAATATATCTAAAACTTAAAAACATGTGAGGTCTTTATAATTCTGTTTTTCACTTTGAATGTTATTTGACATAAATAATTGGATTGCAGGGTCCGCTCAAAGACGCGGTGAACTTATTGTGCACGCCACACGCGGCGTTCTACTCGGATGCGTCGGCGCAAGAGCTGCGGGAAATGGCAGCCTCCGAAATACGGCGAGCTATCGTTGGTCGCATACCCGATTGCCTTCGCAACTGTGTCAATAAGGTATGATACCATGTCATTTTAAATTGTCAAGAATATTAAAAAAAAACCGAAAAGGTATAGAACCTTTTTTTTTATATTGTCAAATCATTTAATATTTCAATCAACTTCAGAAGATTCAACAATCAGAAAATAAAAAAACAAGTGTATAGTTTTTTTTTTGTTGAAGCCACAAGGCATCTCTAGAAGTAGAGATTTAGGTAGGTTTCATATATTCTATAATTTATACTTAAACACTGTATCTGACATTACAGGACTACTTCCTGGCGGGCAGCGGCGGCGTGGGCGTAGGCGTACCCGTGGGCGTCGGCGTAGGGTCGGGCGGAGGCGGCACGGCTCCTACCCCGTACAGCGAGGGCATGAACGGCGGCTACTACGGAGGCACTCAGGCCGCGCACTCCACCACGGCGGTGCACGACCCGCCCGCGCTGCCGCCGCAACCCGCGCCGCAGCCCTCCAACCCGCAGCCGCCCATTACGCTGGTAAGTACTAAAATATACTATAAAGAATGACTATACTAGGACGACAGGCTGTTCATCTGTTTGCTAGTGTAGTTTACGGCCTTTGGTTGACATTGACACAAATTCTAGACTAAATAAATAATATTAATTCAGTAGCGTTGCAGTTATTTGTGTTGGTTTAACAAGAATTAACATGAAGCATGTAGAAAGACCTTTATATACAATTTGTAGAAGACACTCGCCCCTATGTTATCGGTGAACACTTTGCCCTAGATAACAGTTATTTACTGTTTATTTGTTACGCGTATGAGAAAGATATAATGAAGTAAAATGAAAATAAAAGCTAATTAAAATGCAAAAAAAGATTACCATAAATATACTTGTTACTTTGTATGATCACTTTTTTGTACTTTCTGGACCATTTTATATAGATAAATCTGTACAAAATGTTTTTTATGAAATCTATATAAATGTATATACATATAAAGAAATGATCATCCCAATTTAAAAATTCTTTAAAGTTAATGAAGGGCCTCAAACTTTAGATTAAAGATACAATAAGTAGTATAATCTTAAAAGTTACAAATGAATAATAATGAGTAATAATAAATATTTTTTCAGCCGCCAATAAACACCTCTGACCCGGCGAACCACCAGATGAAGCAGGAAAGTTCTGACGTGCACTAGGCGCCGTACGTTGCAGTACCGCACCAACATACAAACAATAGTTTTATTCACCCTCATACCCCTCCCTTAATGTAAGCGACACACGCGGGACACTGAGTGAATGACGTGTGCTCTACGTGTAGGTTAGTTAAGTGCAGAATGTATCGCGGGCCGGACTCTAGCCCGAGGCCCCCTGTGTTTGCATGTTTGGTGTCCCCCGCTCGGAAAGACATTTCGCCAACCCGATTATTGAAAAACTATTAATGTTGTACATTTCGGGGTTAAAATTTACGGATATTCCGAGACTAGTGTAGGGGCTCCGAGTCTTGAGATTTGAGTTTGGAGCTTTTGTGTCGTCGGTTGGGCTTAGGCTTCAGGGGCCCCACAGAGCTGTGTACGATTAGTTTCTTTTCGAATATAATTTGAATGCTCTTTGTATTTGAATGCGTTCGCGACTGCAGAGGCCAACACTGACTTTTCACAACGATAACATTTTTAACGTCATGTAACTTGTTTTATGTACATTGAGTAGTGCTCGGATGAAATTGCATTTGGCAGATTTAAAACAAATTTTATGGCGATTGGTAAACATTTAAAATGTTAGATCACTTTGATTTTTTGTAAACAAGTCGCAAGGAATCTTAAATGTTGAAGTGTGGCCTCGGCAGTGCGGCAGAGTAAGCTTGGTAAAGCATTTGATAGCATTTGTATTCGCTACTCGGTACCGCATGCATTCGTATTATTTTTAAGACAAACGACTGTAGATTATCATCACACTTAAAACAGGATTTTCTTGTTTTTATTTTGAGAATGTACAAAAATGCTTTTGATTTTTGACTTTTTTTCTAAATAGCGTTAAGTATTTGTACATGAGCGAACACCATACGACCGTAAGGGCCAAAATCTCTTGTGGATCCGAGAAATTGGTATTTAAAATTAGTATTTACTTACAGTTTAGTTTTATGACAAAAACAATGTGTATATTTTATGAGAAAGTGAAAAAGTTCTTAAATAAAACTATTGTTTTCGGATTAATGATCACTGTGTTTTATTTCTTTACCCGTATACATATGTACAAAATATTTACAAAAATAAGTCAAGTACTCCACAGTCAAATAATATACATATCATTATGTAAGACATAAAGTGTGGTCCTGCCTTATGCAGCTGGACAAAATACAGTCTTGTAAAATAGAGATCAAAAAATCGATTGGCACACATCGGTTCTTAATATAAAAAATATATGCTTGTGCCCACAAAGTTTAAAGTAGTCTTTTAGTTCCCTCCCTTAAAATTCATTTGATCTATGGCATTCAATTCTAAATGGTATTTTTTTTTTATATTGCACATACCCTTTTTACCAACGATTACTATAAATTACTATAATTTATCATAACAAATTGTATAAACAAAATATAGTAAAAATAAACTGTTTATGGCTGGCTAGTGTTTAAAATATAGTAAAAAAAGTAACAGTAGCTATAAAAATTATTCCCATAATTACTTATTAGTACGTTCAAAATAAATTAATATCGTAACGCTCAAGGCAACCAATATACAGGATATAAGAAAAAGCTGAACCCCCTTCAGACAGGTGTGGCTGGTGTTGGAACTCTGAGTCGCCTCGCTTCATCAGCATCTAACGCCCTTTTCATTTCATAGTACTTTTGCTTGAAGTTATTCAAATCTTCATTCACTTTGTCCAGTTCTAAACGTAGGTCTGCTACTTGTTTCTCACGCATACTTAGTTCTAAATATTCAAAATTAAAAGTTTTGAAGCCTTATGTATCCTTACATTAGTTAAGTTACATATATGTATATTTATTTTATTAAATATGTAAATAGAAGCGAACTAAATGTCAGCCATCATAGCACACTTGAAGCCAAAATGTCATAATATCGACGAAATAGGTCCAATATAACTTTTTTTAAACCAGTGTCGCCTAATTTTGTTAGTTATAAGCTCATGTATTAAACGATTAAAGCCAGTTGACACCCAGCTTCAAACAAAGTGTTTCGTGTAACATATATTTGAACATATCTACAACAACCGCCACAATAATTAAATTGATTTACTGAAGGACATACAGTCTTCATATTAAGCCTAAAGAAACTAAAATTGTCGTGTTTCGTTATTTTTATCCAAAAATTAATACTTTACTGACCTGATGAAATCAAGGAAAAATAATTCTAGCTAACTCCGACTCGCAAGCATATTTTTATATTAAGACTGAGTCTTTATGAAAAAATCTTCCCGTTTATATACCTATCAATTTGTTCATATATTTATTGTGGGTTAAAATGATTAACAGTAAACTTACCCGCTATAAGACACTTCATTTTGGAAGTCCGTTGAGCTAGGGCGCGCTGCGTTCTATTCAAGGTTTGCTGTGAATGTATGTATAATGTTTAAACTAAACTGTTTAGTGAGGAAATAAGAGCCCGAAAACGAACTGTCGCACAATCAACTAGTCGCACGTCGACGTCTGTCAGTACAAATGCAAACATTTTCAGTTCGCTTTCGTTTAATTCCAAATGCCGTATTTCCGTTGCGTAGTCAAGTTTTTCATATAAAAATTGTTCTATTGCAGTAATTTCATTTTTAATTATCACCATTACTAAACGTACGAACAATACAAAAAAATAAAAACAATGGTAGGCGTGTGTCATGCGGCTAGTAAATTACATTATATATGCAAAGTATATAGCATATTATACATTATAAAAATGAAATAAAAAGTCGGCTGAAAACAAAATTCAACTTTCATATATATATGTATATATATACCTGTATTTCAGGGCTAGGTTGTAATGCAAGCATGTCTTTAACGGCACCGTACAAATTCCTTGTCTCCTTCAGCTCACGATCCTTAGCCACCAGCATTTCACTTTGAGCCAACACCTTCCTACATCGTAAATAATATAAAGTCAAACAATATCGGTATGCTCTCGCAGACTAGCGAACTATTATCCTCAGCCATATGAAATATGACTTCCATTGCCAGTAGAAACAGTAATTGTTTAAGTAAAGGGCTTATATAGAAAATGTTATTTTATCTTAAGCTTTGTGTGTCCCACAAGTCGCCATGCAACAAATACACCAGTACACCCACTTTGTGAATATTTTTACAAACAAATAAGTTATTACCTTAAAATTGGAAACAATGACTTTTTTGTCGAGAACTAAACCTACCATATCCGACAAACAAATTACAATGCTATTAATAAATACTACTTACCAGGATTATTACTATTTGGCCAGAGAAGCATTTCATATAATAGCTCCGATACTCTGAAACTCCTAATAGTGATAGAGATCCAAAATATTCAATTTTATCCTGTGACATCAGCGCTGCACATTGTAACCACTATTGAAATTAGGTACAAAACGTTAAGATCACTATTGGAAGTTACAGAGAAGGTACAGTGCAATAATCATAAGAAAGAAAAGCCTGTTAAACTGACTTCTGGGTGAGCCTAAGTTTCTGAGTGAGATGAACGCTCTCTGGGTCTGTGCCTTGCAATTTCCTCCACCGATGGACATTGAGCGGAGTCTCCAATGCTTCTTCGAGAGCCCGAACTCGCAATCTTTCACGACCGAGCTCACGTTCCAAATTGAAAACCTGACATATATACGAATGGTATAAGCTACGACTCGTAGAAATTATCGTTTAATTACAATAACGTGTTATTCTTATTGCCATATCGTTATGCAGTATAAAGTTTAGCAATATAATGGATGGCAATATACTTGTTTCATTATTTAGGTAAACACTACTATTTTATGAGGTATATTCTTAAATTTATTTTTACACTTACATTCAGCAGTAAATACTTGCTAAGATAAAACGGCGACTTAAAAAAAGCAGTACATAATAAAATCAAAGAGAAATCTGGAGTTTTCTACTTAGAGTAATTTTCGTGAGAATATGGAAATCACTCAAACAACAAATATAAACAATAATCTGTGCTGTATTAAAATTATTTAACGCAACAATGTCTCAACAATTATTTCCAGAATCAAGTGCATAATAAAACACTATAATTCAGTAATTTCAACTTGGAAGGCTATGCTATTTCAAATAAATACTTTAAAACAATGTCGATATAAAGATAAAATCTCACCTCTAGCCTCAAATCCGTCATATTTTCAATGCCCTTTGAGAGGAGGTTTTTTTCTTTGCGAAGGCGAATTATCTCCAGACGTAGAAGGCGAATATCTTCAACCCTTTGCTCATATTGACGCTCGCCTATAAAATACGAGTTTCACACATGAGTATTATTCCTGGAAATATTCCTTATTCCTATTACTTTATTAATCTTTCGAGACTTTCGACAGTTAGAAATATGACGATATAAATTTCATTTCTTAAGTTGCCAAGGCTCTCTTACTAAATTTTTCGTATTTGAATTTGCTCTATAAGTGGTATTAAACCCTTTTTAGCAGATTTTGGTGAAATACATAAAAGTCTGGCCCGATATTGCGTTCGAACCTGGTCTTGGTTTTCCGGGTTTCATCGGGTCACCTATCGAGAAAATTATGTCTTGAAAGAAGCCCGGAAGACCTTAATGTATCTATATCTACACGAACCTCTATGTAAAGTAACTTCCAAAATCCGTATCTTTTCGTAAAGTAGTGATATTTCATCATTTCTCCGAACCAGTTGGGCTCCGACCACGTCTCTCTCATTGACAAGACCTTCTAGCTCCTTCATCAGTTTTGCACGGGCTGTGTCACTTTCCTGTATAGAATTATATAAGTTGTTATTCTTTGAAACCAATACACATATACCAGAACAGTTACAATTTAATTATCATAATATTATAATGTTTTGTTTGGTATTTATTTTTAAAGCTGTATGTTTTTAGAGGGTCTTATAGTATATACAAAAAATACATAAATCCGATAAACTGAAACTACTAAATTCCAATCAATTTAGCAATATTCATTGCATAGTTTTCATATATGATGTTTTTGTATAAATTTGTGCAAAACAATACAACCTTTCACCTTTTCATCAATAAATGTTGACACTAACTCGAGTAAGGCCAGCAATCTACCTTTCTTAAACAGAAAGATGCTTATAAATGTAGCATTCAGATAGTTTTGAATATACATAGAACGTAGGTATTTAATTAATAAAGAACCACTCAAATACTCATAGGAAAGACTTCGATAGTTTAAATTGTTTGTATTAATTGGTGTAAAAACTCCGTGTTAAACAAGGGATTACGAAGAAACGAAATTCTTCGAAAAGATCTTTATGAGTCCTACAAAACATCAATATCACGGAAGTATTTATGCATTCGCGTAGGTTCGAAATTACTGACCTTCAATAAATGTGTCATATTGTGACAATGCATTAATTTAATGCATCGGTATACAATGGGAAATTTGGGATTTCCCTAAAAAATAGCCGGGTTCTTCCCGTTGTGTTTTACGATTTATTTATTGTATTCCACTATCCTATATGTATTTATTTGTTAACGTATATGGTTGATTGAAACGTAACTATCTCTGATAAAGCCCTCTTCGTAATACTGTGTATAAAGAGATAGTGTGTATACAAACACCTAAGTATGTTGTTTTATAATAAGTAACCTCGTTAGAAAAACAACATTTTTAAATATGGTATTTAAAAGAATGTTAGACCTAATTACTAAGAAATTATTAGATTAAAACATATTTTATTCCACTTAATAGGCGTTTTCCTACAATCATTAGTAGGACGTACGTCATTAGTTATATTAATAGAATATACAAACATTTACTAGTATTCCTAATATTATCCAAGAATGATTATAGGTATTAAGGCTCATGGAAAATAATTTTCCACTAATTAAAACAAGTGTTATATATAAACACATAAAAATAAATTACTTCCCACAGTTTCCTACAAGAGTTGTCATTAAGGATTCGTTTTTTAAATACATATTTAATTGACGTTTCCTTCTCTTCTGCTTAAAGATACAAATAATGCTTAAAATAGTTTACCCTTTATCATATTGTATTATTGCTACTGACCTGTAAGATTCTATTAAGTCTGGCTTCTTCCTGTCTTGAGGCAGTGATTTCTGCTTTCGCCTCCGATAATTTAACGAGTCCTGCCTGCACCTCAGCCCTCAACTGATCATTCTTCTTATTACACTTCACTAGAGTCCCTTCACATGATTTAAGACCACTTTCTTTGCCGCTTATGTCCTCTTTTAGCTGTTCAATTTGGTAAGCTAACATCTGAAAAACATTATAACATGATACAGAAGAACTTTCGCTTCTTTCTATGTGAATCCAATAAAATATTTTTTTTTATTAAATTACAATTCTGGAATACAGATTTTATGTGCCGATATAGTGATGACATGGCAGTGGCAACAGTAATGAAATTTGATAGTTTTATAATATTTTTTAAATAGCCAGTTGCGCTATAACCTTCTAGGTCTAAGATTAGGCCTCAGATTTCTGTATTTTTTTCGTGATCATTTGTTTTTCTTAATAAACAAGTAGGTGATCAGCCTTTCGTGCCTGACACACGCTAGCGACTGAGGTATGCCGGCTTTCACACGATATTTTCCTTCACAAGCGAGGGTTGAATGCGCTTAAACAGTATACACATATTTGGTAAACAGCCGGGGATCGAACCAGGCCTAAAAGTCTTACTAGACCAACACTGCTCTTATATATTTACTGGTTTGTAGAAAAAATTGTGTTGCCTACTGCCTAGTCCGATTTAGTATACCGTTCCGTACTAGTAAAATCCCGTAGTTGTGGATATCCCAGATGGTTCCTAGTACACGATATAAGGGATAGGAGGAAAATCATTATAAAACTCTACACATTCTCACGATACCTACAAAAAACCCATACCTTAAGTTTCTGCTTCAAATCCTGAATCTCATCCTGTGCCTCTGTATAATTCTTATGCAACATGTTCCTCTCAGCTCTGGTTGCATCAAGGGCTACAGAGAGTTTTCGACCCTTTATGGTTTCATCTCGAAGTGCTTTTTTAAGATCCAATATATCTGCTGTGCGGAGTCGTACCTCCTCTAAAAGATATAATAGTTATTTAATTTTCATTCAGCACTGGATCAAATTGTTAAAATTATTAAATTCATCCTTTGCACTATTGACTAAAACACTTTTTTTATTTATGAACCTCATTTAAAAACATATACATAGTATTACGCGCGAAGTGTTTTTTTAATGAAGTTACGATATTGAATATGGCCAAATTTTACCTGAAATTTCATCAATTCTTTCATTCAAGGCAATAGTTTCTTCAAGCATTCTGAAAATAAAAACTTATTACCACCATCGCACCAATATCTTAATGTTGGTAAATAACTTTTATTCTAATTATTAAACGTCACTTTTTATTTAAATTAAAACCACGCTGTGCCATGATGTTTGAGAAGACGTCTAAATTAAGTTATTTCATAGTTTTGTAAGTACAAAAATCATTTATCATCAAAGATTTAACACTCTAAAATAATTGTGTTATGTATAAAACTAATATTAATGTTCTAAGGAACATTAACAAAAACAAAAATTTGGAGAGTTACGTAACCTAACATTAGTTACATACATATATATTTTAGTAAATAATTAGAAGCGTGAAATAAATGTTAGCAATCATTGCACACTTGAAGCCAAAATGAGCCCTTTAGTTTTATCCACTCATAAATTGTCATATCACCTAATGGCGGATGCTACACGCTCCATATTTATCGCGATATTTTCGCCAATATGTCGAAACTTTTTTTAAATCTTTACAAAAACAAATATTTTGGGTGTTTCAAGTAAAATTTGCGACACAGCTACCCTAAAAGTATATTAAGAAAGAATACAGTTGTGGGGTGTTGTACCAAAGCATAAGTTAAAGTTTATCTAAGGGAACTAGATAGCGTGGTGGACTGGAGCCGCCCGAGACATTTAATCGTCGCTGGGGACTTAAACGCAAAGTCTGCGGTGTGGGGATCGTTGGTGACCAAGCCGCAGGGAGACACGCTAGAGAAATGGGCTGCTGGGCAGAATCTGTTAGTTGCAAACAGGGGCTCCGAAGCTACATGCGTGCGAGCGAACGGAGAACCGATCGTAGATGTAACATTCGTAAGTCAACATCTGTCCCGCTGGGTCCAGGGCTGGGAGGTCCTAACGGGGGGTAAAAAAAAAGCATAAGTTAAAGTTTATCTACCTGTCCTTATCCTTTTCCAGCTGTCGTATTACGAGCCGTTGCTTATTAAGCTGCGATGCGCTGACTTCTAACTCGTGTTCCAGCTGCTTCCTTCGCTGTTCTTGTCGGCTTATGACTAGCAGATTCTCCATGGCTTCGTCTAAAATTATTTATGAAAACAGTTTTGAACTATTAAATGAACCTAGTATTGTCTTTGATTAACATAACTTTTATTCATTTAATAAAACACTATTTTGACCGGATTGAAGTTATGTATTATTATAAATTTACAACTATTTAACATAATTTGTGTCACCGTGACCACGCACGCTGTAAAGCACGCGAAACGTCGGATAAATTTAAAATTATGTTAAATAGTTGTAAATTTATAATAATACATAACTTCAATCCGGTCAAAATAGTGTTTTATTAAATTAAATGAACCTTCCATTTTTATGATTGTATATATATATATAAATGTGGCTATGTTATTTTGCTCCAATACCTAAATTCATTTCTAATTTATTCAAATTATAGGCGTAGGTTTTTTCTTTTAAATTAACAACTGCTTTTTTTTTTAACTGCGTCAATAAGATATTTTTTTGCAACAAGTCTACTCTTGTTCCCGTGCTTAACTTTGTATCTCTTCTTATTTATTATCTATTAGGATTAACAGTCAATATTTCGTAAATTAAAAAAATGCCAATTCATCTTTATAAGTTCAAGTGTGACAGTGTTCAATACTACATTATGTCTTCAGTTATAAGGACGTCATTTAAATATTTTTAAATATTCTCACTCTGAATTTTCTGCATGTTTTTATTAAATATCTCTTTCTCTCTGTTTAAATTCTCAATCTCCCTCCGGTCAGCTTCAGCTTGTTTCTTGTTTAGCATTATTTCTCTTTCCATTACGCTCACTTGCTGCCTTAGATTCTCACTAAAAACGAAAATTTATCAACATTGCCAGATACCAGAACATTAGCAAGAATTCAAGGAATGCAACAAGCATTCCCCGTAATATAAATAGTAATGGAAAACTTATTGCTAAAAATTAACACAAAAATTGTTTTCATTGATTGATTGATGCTTAAATAAGTTTTATGGATTTAGATACACATATAGCAAATAGTTCTACGAAGACGAAATTACATTAAAAGTCTAGGTTAAAGTAACAGTATTACCGATCGCCTTCGACGCCAGCTTTAGCTTGTTCTAGGAGTTGATATTTCTTTGTTTGCTGAACACTTTGCTTTGTTAGTTTTGACACTTCGTTTCGGAGACGGTTGCCATCATCTGTCGCATTCTGTATGATTTGTGCAAGATAGTATAGCCACTTTTTTTTAAATAAATAGTTTAATTTTATAAATTATTCTCATCATTCGAGGTGATCATTTGTTTATTTGCTAGGAGCGGTTTTATTCTCTTAGCTTTATACATTTCATGAATCTATCTATTATAAAGGTAAAGGGCTTGGCTACACGCTAATCTTAGAATCCTCTGGTTCGAATGGAAATATTTTTGAAATATTGGTATATGATAAATCTTTTACACTAACCTTAAGTTCCTTAGCAGTGTTAGTTAGAATCTGTTTTGTTTTATCAAACTCGGCATTTGTAAAATCAAGTTGCTCTCTCAACTGAGCTGCCTTATTTGAAGCTGCTTCTTGCTCTTGTTGGGCTAATTCTAATTTACGCGTCATATCCTTCAGTTGTTTATCTCGACGATTAATTGTTTTTTCTGCTTTAGACAACTGAAAAATTCAAATACGAATAATTCCCGCAGTCCTTTTTCATGTCCTTAATGTTTTGGTCTTACGAATTCTATTTGTTCCAGCAGAAAGTATGGTTTAGTAGATTTATAACAGTAATTACTAACTGTTAAAGTTGTGTATGTCTTATCACTTCGTTATAAAATGTTACACTTAGCCATTTGTTATAGCTTATATATATATTATATATTTTTATTAGCTATAACCTACCTTTGTAACCTAGCAGTCGACCAGCACCTTTCCTGAAGCTTGGAAGCAGCCAATGTAACCCCAATCTGGAAGTCAGGAAACAAAATGGACGTCTCTAATTACAGACCAATACCCTTCTCCCAGTCATAGCCAAGATCCTAGAACGAATAGTGAACAAGAGGCTGCTCTCATTTTTAGAAAAGCAACGCTCATTTCCTACAACCAATTCGGGTTTAGAAAACAAAGACTACGCAGACGCTGTCAGTAATCTTACTGACCATATAAGCGAGAAATTGGATATGGGGCAGGATGTATAGGTGTCTCTTAGACCTCGCAAAAGCCTCGACACGGTCCACACTGCATTTTGCTGCGAAGAATGGAACTGTTAGGAGGAGAGGGGTGGCTCTGCAATGGTTTGCATCCTACCTTAAGGATAGGCAACAGCGTGTAGTCTTAGGGGACACACAAGCCACAAGAAATACGTCAGATTTGGAGTACCACAGGGCAGTGCGCTTGCACCGACCCTCTTTTAAATATATCAACGACCGTGCATCTGCCACTGGACAACGGAAATATTTATTCATTTGCCGACGAACAGCTATGATATTCATGCAAAACTTGGGAACAGGTTTCTGTCTTAGCTGAGAAAGGATAAATTGCGTCTCCAACTGGCTTCAAAACAATCTGCTTAGTCTAAATCTCAGCAAAACCAAATTTATGTGTTTCAGCAAACAGACGCCCCGCCCAACGACCCACCAGTCATAAAACTCCACACGTGCTATAACCAAATCCATGCCAGTGTCCTGTTCTCGAATACACCGAAAGTATAAAATATCTAGGAAAATAATAGATCGACACCTCACTTGGGAAAAGCACATTGATGCACAGTCTTCTAGGATCAGAAAGCTTATGTTAATATTTAATCGACTGAAACGAGAGCGGAGGACGAAGTTATTAGAATAATTTATTTTGCACTTTGTCAGTCCATTCTCACATACTGTATATCGGCAGGGGAGGAGCGGCGAATCTCTATTGCTTAAGTTGGAACGCACAGAGAGCAACCTAAAGTTGCCTATCGCAGGCCGTTTAGATACCCCACAGTCAAACTCCACCTAGAAACAAAAACCCTCTCGGTAAGGAAGCTTTACATCTTGGCGACCTGTTCAAGATATCATAGATTCCATGGGCTCACAATTCAGGACACATCTAAGAACAGACGTTTTGCATTCCCAACGCAAAACGAAGGACTGTATTTGGACAACGCTCCTTTGCATTTAGGGGCCCCTTCCTTTATAACAAAATCTCCAAATCTATGGACTCTGAGATCGTAAAACTATCCAGATATAAATTAGCAAGCCACATAGAAACTACACTAGCCAAATTGGATTTCGAATCCACAGAGGCATTACTACATATCTTGGTATGACTTTGAGGTTTCATAAACACAGACACAGTGCACGATCATAACAACTTTCAGCTACATTCTCAAATACATGCGCAAACTCACCTATTCACACACTCACTCATTCACTTCATACGTAACAACAAATTTATAACTATTATTGGTATTTTTTATTTTTAATTATCATTTTTTCATATCAATTATTAAACTAATTTTAACATGTACCACGAAAAAAAAGGTTTTTAGTTACCCCCAAAACAGGGGCCCCCCGGGGGGGGGTCTACGATTTATGATTTCTGACAAACCTTTCTGTCATAATAAAGTTTTTATTATTATTATATTACTTGTTATTTATCATAAACAACGTAATTAGGAATAATTATATTAATGTATTAGTTATTGAAGGTCTACTTTTTTTCAGTTTTTAATTACTTGCTTTCAAACAGTTGCGATAGTAGGCTTTGTCGGTTTTACTTGGTTTTATAGTTAAAATTATTAAGACATTAAAGTACTCACTTTATCTTTAAGACCGGAGATCTCTTTTCCTCTATTATCCACTTCACATTTGAGTGTATCACTTTCACCTTTCAAGTGATCCACCAGTCGATTTTGTCTCACCGCATTGTTATCAGCTTCCTGGAATTTATACCGTCAAAATATTGTTTGTCAATATTTAGTACCAAGCTATATTTGAAATCTAACAAATGATAAACGCGTTTACTCATCGACTGTCATAATAATTTTGTTAACATTACAAATTATTATTATAAAGTACATTACATTTATTTCTATGACTTCAATCTGATCTGCGTCATAAAAAGATGTTCACTTATTTGTGTGCTTGAAAAAACGATTTCAGTCAGGTACCTCAAGTTGTTCTTCCAACTTGGAGATGTTCTCCTCCGCAGCTGTATTCCTTTGCTCTAGCTCTTCAATGAAGTTAAGAGCATTCGTCAGCCTCAGTTTGGCACCATCCAGCTCACCCTGGAGTCGCGCTTTTTCTTTCTCAAACTTCTCTTTCTCCTTCACGGCTGAAGTTGCGCCTCTGAAACGAAACAGGGTTGCAATCTCGGATAAGAGCTTTTGAACTTATCGCGTGTTATAAAAGTGAATGGGTTTAGTCACTAGGAGAAGGGAATGCCCGCAGGTAACAACTTCGTTGAGGAAAACTATACTGATTCATATTAATAACGTCTCAGTATTTTTAATATTAAGGCCGAGTGTAATTAAAAAAGTACATATATTTCATGGACATGGACATATATATAATAATATTGAATATAGTCAATTTTCAATTCAATAGTCAAACAACTATTGAAAATTACCGCTTTCGGATTTTAAAACCCCCGTAAAAACGAATATGTTTTTAAAGAGATATTTATTATTTGTATTGTTATTGTATTTTAGTTATTGTGTAAGTTATTTTTCTTCTGTATATTATAATATACCTTAATAAAAACTAATGAATTAAACTCACTTGCAATATTTAGTTCTACTGAGTTTTCTGCCTTAGTACAACCCGAGCCGGTAGTAATTAACTAGTATTTATTTATTTATTTATATAAGCTTTCCAACGCTCGGCACACTGATACATTGGTACAAGTACAATATATTTTTTTTAAATATGGCACGCACTTATAGGCAAACATAACATACACGAAGAGATAATAAAAATAAATGAAACAAAACAATTAAACTATAAAAACTAAACGAAAATCTATTTTAATGAATGGATTTTATGGATATCCAGACCCAGCTCGTTTATCAGAATGCTCAATCTGGAAATCTGTGAGATTTGACCAAAACGCGTCCTCCGGAAAGGCGGGACCAATGAAATGATGCGATGCCTGGGGTACACGAAATTTAACATATTAATAAGTTGGGGTAATCGAACTGATTGTTAAATATCTTAAATGCAAACGATATATTTCTCATCGAACTAGTAGTCACTATTTAGTTGAAATAAGTATCTTACGCATCATCATCACCAGCACGTTTCCTTGCATCCAGCTCCTTCTCCAAGCGAGCGATGGTCTTCTTCATAGTCTCCAAAGTCTCTACGCTTTTCAACTCGCGAGCATGCATTGCGTCAGCTAGTGCGCGGGCTTCCTCTATCAAGAAACATTAAGAATAAATAATCATTGTACGAGAAAGTATTTTATAAATCAAATATTTTATAAATTAACTCTCCTTACAATATTTCATAATAAATTGCTATAATTAAGAGGAATTTTAGCTCAATGTTAATGCTGTTACAATCCCTGGTGATAAATTAGACGTATAATTGAAACGGCACATACCAATTTCAGCTCGAAGTTTATCAACAGTTTTATTTGTATCCGATATTTCGTTGAGATAATTAGCAATTATACCGTCGTATCGGCCCACTTTGTCCTGCAATCAATTATTAGGACTTACCTTCGACTTCAATTCTATTGAATAAGAAAAAAAACAGTCAAACCACATTCTTACTTTCTGCGGCAATAAATCTTTGTATCATAAATGGTTGTAAACCAAAATCAATTATTAATTATATATAATTAATTTAGTACTTGATTTACTCATGTGAAACAGACTTTACTTCGCAATTATTTGGATTAGTTGGAATTTGGTACTAAAACTACGTTCGAGGTCAGCAGTTGCTTTGACACTTAAATATGAGTTACCGATAAAATAGAACGTAAGTAAAGATTTAATAATAGTGATTTTTAAGCCCACCTATTATATTTTAGTACCTATAGGTCTAGGCAGGTTTCTTGGCAAGATTTTGCAAGTTAGTAAGATCCCGTATTACTCCTTTAGAAACACCTACCCTTCTACCTACCCACCTAGGGTAGGTCGTCCTTTAGGGAGTACGATGACGTCATACCGAATCGCGCATATAAAGTTATTCCAAGTGCTAAGGCTATGTACAACTTTTCAACGTTAGCCACTGCGGCCTTCGGGTCGGCCGGTCAGTGTTTAGACTGGTCGAGGATCCTCCATTTAGGTCGAAGGAAGAGCGGCACCTTCCTTTCACTCTTTAAGGTCTAACTACATTACGAAACTACACTACGATTTACGACTCTTGGTAACATATTTGCCGAAATACTGTAAATAAGCGAGTTTCAAACTACAGTTGAAGTTAGCTTTCGTTATTGTCTAGTGTATTGCTACGAGTAAGACCTCTGGTGGGAGATGCACGATTCAATTTTGTCAATGAAACGATAGCTGCAATAATCAGGATCAAAAAATTTATAGCTTTAAAATTTTTTACATTAAATCTATTAAACTATTTCGTTTCGTTTCGAGAACGACTCAATATTCACCGTGTTTAATGTACGTTCAAAAACAAAACAAACTTTAAACAAAAAAAAAACGTGTGGCACTCGGGGACTGCCGCGGTAAAGCTATTGCATAATTTTTTTTCAACTTATGCAATTATAATTATTTATTTATGCAGTATTTTTTTTCTTTGATATTAATTCAAGTTTTTTCTTTGATAAATTAATTCAATCTACCACTCTGCCAGACTCAGACTAAATTGCCTATATAGTCTTTCTCACTCTAACGCGCACCGGCTGCACCGATCTCGTCAGAGAGATGTGAATACGCAGTATGCGTTCTGTCCCGCTCTAACGCGTATTGGTCGCACCTATATTACGTCATCGTGTGTTAGGTTTTTTGGTTACGGAATTTCTTGATTCGGTCGCCGCGTTCAAAGCCCGCGATAAAATCTATGCAATAGCTTAACTATGCAATAGCTTAATAACTGTTACTATGCTCCCTATAATGTAAAAATGATTTAGTAGACTATATTTAGAAAACAACAACGACTTTTTATGTCTGGGCCTATGATTTCTGTGATAGTTTAGTGTTCATTTATTGTTTTTCTATTAAGCAAGTAGGTGTTCAGCCTTCTTTGCTTGACACACGCCTTCAACTTTTTAGGCATATCGGTTTCATCGCGATGTTTTTCCTTCATAGTATGAGCGAGTGTTAAATTCGCACATAGGCGGAAAGCCCATTGGAAACCTAACTTCAGGGATGACTGAAGCCACTAATAAACAATGTTGCTTGAATATTTTGTTTATCGCTTTCTTTATACGTGCATTAAACTAATGCAGGTTTAAAGTGCATTCGTATGAAAGGCAGAATTATACAAATACGATACCATGAGATATGCAATTTTCTCCTGGTGAGCAGTGTTCTCTCCTTTGAGTTTGAAGTAGGAATCATACAGCTTAGTATACACATCGCTGTACAGCTTAAGACCTTCCGATTCTCGCATTTGTTCTAGGACCTGTAAAATATAAGAATGGTTATGTTCACACTGATAATTTTTATCTCAAACTGTTTGAAGTCTTGTGAATTGCAGCGAACTCAGAAAGTAGGAATTATCAACATTACTACATGGAGTATACTTTCAAATAAAAATATTTTTTTCTAGGTGTTTTGAAATGTGGGAATAGCATATATTAAATATAAGCAATGAATTGGGCATCACTTTTTAAAGTCGGTTAAAAACACGGAAATGAGGCGTTTTGCTACCAAATAAATGTTATTTACTTTTTCATATTCCCTTTCGGCTTCTGTAGTTTCCGAGCCAATAATGATGGCCGCGCCAAACGCCTCTTCCTCATCAGGTAAATCCATTTTGATTTAAATAAAATATAATTAATATAAATAACTTGAATATTAAAGAAGCAAAACAAAACTTAAAAAATGAGGCACGACTTTCAAAAGACTGTTTATTTTGTTGCTATGGCAACCACCACAGACTAAGAACAATGAACGAAGAAAATATTTTTCTATATTATTTGACGGTTTTTGCCCACATTGCTTGTACCATAGGTTTCTGCTAGTGTCATTGCCATATTAATTCCTTTGGAGTGGATTTACATTTATTTCTTTAAGATTAAAATTTAATGAAGGCAAAAACAGTCAAGTGATTTGACCGCAGTTATATCACATGAGAGCTTTTGCCTTGAAACAAGAGGTCACAATTGTAAATTAGGTAATCTATATAATATTGCTGGGGATATTCCCCATCAATTGCAAAATGGTCAGTTTCCTCATTAAAGCACAATTATTGCCCCTTGCCCCAATTAGGTGGAGTGGTCTCTCTCGTCATATTAAAGACACTTTGTATTTTATTATTTAGACTGAATACATTATTATTTTGCGATACATATCCATCAGATATTTCTCTATTCTGAGTGAAAAACTTAGCGGTTAAAACATTCGTTTGTCTTCAGTCACCGTGACCACGCACGCTGTAAAGAACGCGAAACGTCGGTTAAATTTTAAAATTATGTAAAATAATTGTTAAATAAAATTTAGGTATAATACATAACTTCAATCCGTTAAAAAAAATTGTTTTTCTATGTGTAAAAGTTATGTCAATAAAAGACAATACTAATTGATTCATTTCGAGATCTATCAAGAACACATTTAATTGTCAATCAGATGACTCCCGTGAATAGGTTGTTGGAGCAGAGATTCTTGTGTGTAAATGTTTGTTCTTCCTGTTTAATTTCTTTTGCCAAGTTTTTAGAAATGAGCAGTGTTGGCCTAGTGGCTTCAGCGTGCAACTCTCATCCCTGAGGTCGTAGGTTTGATCCCCGACTGTGCACCAAAGGACTCTCTTTCTTCGCATTTAACATTCGCTCGAACGGAGAAGGAAACATCGTGAGGAAACCGACATGTCTTGGACCCAAAAAGTCGACGGCGTGTGTCAGGCACTGGAGGCTGATCAACTACTTGCCTTTTAGATTGAAAACTGATCATGAAACAGATTCAGAAATCTGAGGCCCTGACCTAAAGAGGTTGTAGCGCCACTGATTTATTTATTTTTTAAAAGTTTTTAGAAATAACCTTCTTATTTTTGTTAAGTTTCGATATGTTAGTTTAACTAAATCATACAAAGCTAGAAAAAATATATTTTTACCATATTTTATAACTAATTAACCTAATAATAAAATATAACCGTTAAATTTAGACACATTTGATGGCATTGATTACATGTATGTTTTTGATAACTTGAATCGTAGAAGATTAGATTTATAAAGTTTTTACACAACTGGACGGATACATTACATACTAAGTACACTAAAACTTTAAAATAAAAACACTAAAACTGTATTTACTTTAAATTAGATTAGATTTTTAGAGGTCATTAGCTATTTCTTAATTTAAGATTTAAATTATTTTAGTCAACTATAACAGTACCTAAACCTTGACAATCTTTTTATTGAAGGTCGATACGGTTTATATAATTTTTCACAGTCAATTGCCGTACTTGTTATTTAATATATAATAAAATTATTATTTTAATATGCTTTATATTACTTGCCCCGGCAGACCCAAAGGACCTCTGAATTCGGTACGGAGATAACTTAATCTTGCCACTGAGCTTTTGATGTATCAAATCAAATAGAAATCATTTATTCATATAGGTAAGTGTAACACAATCTACACTTATGAACGTCAAAAAAGAACACATGTTAAATGCTTCTAATTTTAAATTTAACATTAACTGCCAGTTCTCACGTCAAGGGCGTAGAATTGAAGAGAAGAACTGGCAATAAACTCTCCGCCAATCTTTTTAATCGCCAAGTTTTTTGTATGGAGATTGGAGACCTAGTGTCGACTAGTAATTCCTAGTCTACCAATTGGTGTGGAGATGTAATGGCATTTTAATGTCATGAATAATGTACCATATACCTACCAAAGTATTTCGGACACTTCAATGTCTTATTTCCGTTATTCGCACTCTTGTTCAATCGGAACAAACTTTTTTTTCTGATTATAGGACTCCTACAGGCTCGCGATCAGGGAGATCTGTGGCCGAGAAGCTAGGCAGCAGGGAAGTGTCAAATCTCCTCTTTCCCAAAAAGGGACCTTATTTGTTAAAGTTATGTCTGGTGGACTTGGCGTCTCCCGCCCAGCCCCGGCGACCACTACTCTGGCAATATCCTCATGGGGGAGTCGGAGCACGCTGGCCGGCGGAACCCGCGTTACCTCTTGTGCTATTTTTCTTACTGTTTATTATTAATATTACTATAGAATGTGTATAATCAACAACTTATATCGATTTAGGCTTTAAATACTTCCTCAAATACGTTTTCGCTATAAAAATAGATTCAAGTTTTGTGTTATTTATCAATGAGGAAATTGGAGACAAGGTTAGTTCGGATGATTTATTTGAATGCATATGATTATAAAATGTTATAGGATTTTTCGAGTGCGTGCTAGATTAATTATTTTATGTAGAAACTATATTAATATATTGGATCCACTCATAAAATTAATTATGTTGTTTATCGTCATATATTTCTGATTTATGCGAATAGGCCTGGAACTTAACTAGTTTATTGACCTTTATGAATGAATTATAATAATAGATATCACAATTACTTCTAATACACTTTTTACTATTTTTATGACAGAGGTCACTCACTCTCTTAACTTTTTTTTTTTTAATTCACTACTCAAATTTGAAAATATGCGGTCCTGATAAATGGAGAGATGCTGGTTCATTATACTTATAATATGTGTTCCGATTTCACTTGAACATTGACCAACTGACACCGCGCATTTGGTCTCATTCATTTAGGCTCATTGGTCCTTCGAGCCGGATGGCCTTGCTAGCCAGTGGACTGTGAAATGTGTGTTTAATATATGTAATAAATGGAAGAAGTATTGTACATATATGTAGTGTATGTATTAACAAGCTGCACTAGATGACTAAATGTATGAGAGGGTGAGTCCTAAGAACCTAACAACCCTACGGATTTCTCAGCCCTACAGATAAATAGTGAATATAGAAGTAAGTACGGGACGTATGCACCAAGAGACTTAAAGTAACAGACGGAGCCCTACGGGTAGGATCAAGGGTTCAAGGTGGTAGGTTTATCTCAAAGTTATCGGGCAGGCTCACCACGATAATTAAGGGCATGAACGAGTCTTCGCCACTTTGAGAGGACGCGAGAAATGAATAAGCCAGAGCAATATTTAAATCTCATTTATTGTTATAAAACAATATCTTAAATAGTAGTATTTAAGATATATTTTACACCTATTCACACATACATTAAAAGGAGGTCCCAATCACTTATCAGCTATTGTAAAATCTTTGAGATAACGAATAAAAAAAATAAAAAAAAAAAAACATTATATTATTCATCTTATGAAATATTACTGTTATTCGAATCCTCATTAAAATGAACTTATTCTACAAAATATTATATGTGTATTTTTATTTTTTAATCGATTCCAATAGCTACAAATATTTTTAGAATATATATATATATACAACATAATATATACATAACATAACAGCTGCTGTAATTAGTGTTCGCTTTTACACTACTAACTTTTAATTAACACTTTATTGCACATCATGAAAACACAATGCAATTAAAGAAATTAGGTTTGGTAACCGGCCGCTCGCTTATATGTAATTTTTCAGGTAACCTGAAAGAATAATAATATACAGCAAAACTTTAGGTAATTTTGGTTTCCACTAATGAGTAATGACGCTTTTCTTAAAGACAGAAGAAAAAACTTTATTTTAGATAATAAAACGATATTTAGGTAAAATAAGGTGCACACACTGGGATTCCCTGTGTTGTGGGCAGCCAGTCTCTTATTTTTGACGTTTTAACTGTACTTGACAGTAATTTCTAAATTTTCTACACAAACGCGTTGGGCAAAGAAAGAGCGATTTTGGGTTGCTCATATTATGTTTGCGTTGTGTATGATTTGGTGTGGTCGGTGTCTCATATTATTTTGTATATCTATTAAAAACAGAGCGCGATTCCTCAGCGTGTTTTGAATATTTTAATATTAGGGAACTTCTTGTTTAAATTAATTACTATTGATTTTGTCAAACCCACACAGTACTGGTTCTTGTCCAACCAACCTTTGGTCTACCTTAATGTAATTCTTTTTACTGGTAATTATATTTACTTCCGTCACTATGGATGGTTTATACGAACTTCCTGATCACGTTTGTGTGTTTTTTTTGGTTCCGTAATAAAAAGTGTTTCGGTCGAAGCCAAGAGATTTGTACTTGATCAATATTTGAGGATCAAATTGTCAATTAGTTTAAAATAATCTCCATATTTAGGCTTAATTATTATTTGCGTTTGCTTACACGAAGGCTTACTTGGTAAAATAATTCCTATTAAAGTTCTTTGTATGAAGTTATTATTTGCTAATTTAGTATGTAACATTTATACCGTTATTATGAACTTAACCGACCGCAATGTTAATACTACTCCTTACATTTGAAAGTGAATTACTAATCACCGAAAGCAGTGTTGGCTTTTTGGCTTCAGCATGCGACCCTGAGGCGTAGATTCGTTCCCCGGCAGTGCACAAATGGACTTTCTCGTAGAAGTAGGAAAACGTCCTGCGACCGGAATATCTGTAACCAAAAACTCGATGACATGTGTCAGAAATAAAACGATTAAATAAACGGATATAATCTAAGATATAAAGCCACAGGATTATTATTATTAACTAATATTATATATTGATTTATTTTAAAGCTTTTTCTTATTTCCTAATATAAAAATATCTAATTATCTCATGTGTTAGTGAATATCTTTTACAGTTAGTAAGTATCAGGAACCCTCTCCGGTAAAGGC